CTATTTTTTACCTTTTTGCCAGATGTCCCTTCTATAACTGAATTGAATCTTTGGAAATTCCGAAGTAAAAGACAGGAGCAAGGTAGACGATCATTAAATTTGAAAGTACTGTTCGGTAGTAAAACGGATGGAAAGTTTCACCCACGGTCGAGCAAGACCTCCAGAAGCGTGAGCACGGCACCTCCTACCTTTGGGAGGGGAGATGATTTTGCAAAATTTGACGCCCTCCTATTTTCTCCTGTGGTCTTTCCTCACCCCCTCCTTACCCATCCTACCTGGTGTATCTTTGAATTCTCTTAACCTCCTACCACTTTTCAGGAGAATTCTCCAGTTTTGCCTCGAAGATCCACCGCCGAGTAAGGGGCACATATTTCTTCAGAAAACATCTTGCTCGGAAACAAAAACTCTCCCCCTCCCCCTCCCTTCATCCCTCCATTTACCGAATTCGACCCTTCACGCTGGGGATCTCTAAAGTTCGACGTGCCCTGAGCATTAACATCTCGGAGGTCTACCAACAATCAGTCAATAATATGATCAATATCGATAGTTAATCAATAACGGGAAAGATAAAGACGATGAGGGGCAATCACTCACCATCTGTGGAGACCTGCGACATTGTTCCCTTCTATGTGTCACACAGGTGCGACAGCTGAGTGTTTATCTTTTATGGCATGAACTTTAAGCCACGCCCACCGGAAGATAGCACAATGAAATTGCTCTCCTCTCTGGGTGGGTAAATATTGAACCTCATGGAAGAACTCCAAAGTAAATGCTTCACACAGTTGGAGTTCGTCATGGAAATTATTGAGGCCAAAAATGTCTCCATAAATTTTTGTAATCTCTAAAGTTCTTTCTGTCTGCAATTGCAGCACTTCTGCAAAGGTGACAACAGCGCGTCGCGGCATGCAACGCGCTCGTCGCGTTGTATATCACGACGTGCTGCTGCTTGAATACTGGTCCCCCAAACGGGAACTGTTTACGGGTTTATTGTGCAGTTTCCTTATAATTGAGTACAAAGCGTTCCGGGAGACTTGCAAGAGAATCGTAATTCGCCGCTCCGCCGCGCGCGGCGATGGGCGCGGCGTTTTCTTAACTCGTGTTAACCTGTCGATTGGAGCACCGGACTTCATGTAGACCCCGTCATCGTAGACATTCATGACTATTTTCGGTTCTGAATTGCCTGTTGTCGCCATCTACTACCTGGAACCATCGTCATTTGCGGGCGCGACGTCGCACGCGACGCCCACCAGCGCAGGCGAATTACGATTCTCTTGTCACACACCCAAGTGTTCATCCCTGAAAGCGAACTTGGCCACAGAAATGCAGAAATCCAGCAAACATGTAGAAGCTGATGGCCTTTTTCACTCCTCCAAGCCCAATATCTCTATATCTCACACGTTAACACTTCACAGAACGGCCAGAGTACTCGGTCATAAGGGACCAAATTTATCCCGAGTCTTTAAGGGCCCTCAAGGGTGCGGCAGTACTGTACGGATCGGCTTGAATGAAACACGTCACTGTCTTCATGTCAATTTCATTGCCAAAGGTGCGTGCGATGCGTTTGTTCCAGTTCTTCCAAGGAAAAAGATAAAGGATAAAATCCTCGCCGTTAAATAATGGGACGGCAGTCTCTTGTGAGATACAGCCGCAATACTATCTTCCATGCAGGAAACCGTAGTGGGCTTATTGAGTGCGATGTGGTTCTACCATCTAGCGGTATGGAGCAGTACGAGTCGATGTTTTCTTGTCCTCCCGATGAATTTGGTACCATTTTTCATCCCCGGAGGATGGAATTATTGACTGAGCGTGAGCCGTCCGCGATTTGATTCCGTGCGCATGAAAGCGTACATCTGTGCACTACCACACTCCAGCCGCTGATTTCAGAAATATCAGCTTGATAAACAGCTCCGTGGATTCTGTAGGTATCGAAAACTTGGCACTCCAGGGGGGAGGGGCAAACCTGTGGGCGTCTGTTAGTATTATACCAGATCCTGTAAACTGTATACATGTAAACACCGGACAACCTTTTTGACACCCCATAGGGGCGCTGTTTATCGACGGGAGGGGGGGGGCATTCTGCTTTTCATAGATTTGCCAACCCATCTAGGTACCCTTTTTTCGAGTTGACACGTTTTAGGATGGTGGCTAGACGATCTTGCTCCAGCAGATTTCACAAGCGTTCACGCAAGTTCTTTACACAGAGTGACATTTGTAACCGCGGACCCAGGGAAGCAGTTGACAATGATCAAAATGCCCCCCTCGATGAACAGCCCCCCCCCCCCTGCTAGGCTTCTCCGGCCTGTCATTAACATCATGTAAGGTCCTGTTAAACTTGTCAGATGATGGCGAGATTAGAAAAATTGGAGAGGCCGGCTTCTGTGGCGCGGCTCTACTAGTGTCATTTCGTCCGCAGTGTCAGCAGTGATTGACAGTGCTTAAAGGAACTTGAAGCGTTGGACAACGATGTGAAAAAATCGACGAGAAAACTAGCACTCTTGAAAAAGCTTCAATGTTCCCCCCCCCTTCTTTCACACGGTTACTAGTGCTGATAGTTATTCTTCTCCATTGCCCCTGGCCCACCACTCTTACCCTTCGAGACTGAGTAGACCGTTTTTGTATTGTCTTGGACAAAAGGGAATTCTACCAGAGGCAGACCAGGGCACATCATTGATTGGGATTGTAGTCTGGGAGACCATAAAAAATCGTAGGACGACCCCCCCCACTTTATTTGGGGTTGGGGGGGGAGTAAGGGGTAGATAGCCACTACTAAAACAGGAAAAGCGCGAGACAATACGCCCCCCCCCCCTTCTACCAGTTTCTCGATTTCTCCAACTTTCTGCCACTTTTTCCAAAATTCTCGAAAACTTCCCTACTTTTTCCCAAACATTTTGCTGTCGAGCGGGGGAGGGGTGGGGTATACCACTAGTCGCATGGAAAGGAAATCAGAAAGTCAACGCACCACTCCCCCAACTCCTAGAAAACGCCAGGAAGGTAATAACGATCCTCTCCTGCCACTTCCCAACAATGAGCAAGTACGCCAACTCCTTTCAGACGTCGTGGAATCGAGAAAATCACTATCAAAATAATTTTTCTCAGCGCCAAATCACGACCCCCTCTCCTGGCGGCCACGAGAATGCACCCCCCCTGTTGTGGATTCGCCCCAATCAAGCGCTGTGCCCTGAGCCGAACACCAGCAGTTCTGACTATTCACAGAAGGAGGCTCAGTTAACAGTGTCGCGCTCTAATAGAAACTCAGCATCTGCGTTCGAATTTCGTGGGCGAACATGGATTGTCGTTAAATCCTGCCAGTTTCGTTCTTCCAAAGTCTCATGGTTTTCTTTTAAATGTGAGTAGTAGAGTCCTTTCTAAGGTCTTAGAGCGAGAATGTCTTGGGGATGCGTTGCTGTTCGGTTCGGTTTGAGTGCTTGTATAACAGGTTTAGCTGCTTATCACACAGATTGCAAGTTTTTTTTGCCTAGCTTCAGTGGCTTTGAGAATTGTGGGAAACCCGGAACGGTTGGATATTTTCTGACGAGTTGCATACCCATTCAACCAGGTAACTGAGCGTCCGATAAAATTTAGATAATGAATAATTTATTGCTACATTTGCGGTCGTAGGTTTCACTTGAATTTGGTGGGCGGAGGAGGACTTAAAACACTTACCGCTCTATCTATAAGTATTGCAGCTCCTAGTAGATGCACCCCTAATGGTTTATGTTATTTTCTTTAATCTGGTTTTACCTTTTCCTATTCGTTCGTTTCTGTGTTTTCTGTTTGTTATTGTTTCTCACGCTCTTAGGTTTTGAGGCAGGATTATCTCTGCCTTATAAACGGCTGGGTGAAGTGGTATATCTTTCCGGAACTCTTTGTTCTAGGCTCAGCAGAACTCTTCTACGGCAACTCGCCAGTGCTTCCTCTCGTTTGCAGTTCCAAACGGTGTCGAACATGAAAGAAGTATGGAGGCGGTGCTCGCCGCCTTAGGCAGCGTTCAGACTTCGCGATGCAGCGCTTCGGTCGCGCGTTTGACGCGATCGATGCGCATGCTTTCGACTGCATCGAACGCGCGACCGAAGCGCTGCCGTCGCGAAGTCTGAACGCTGCCTAAAAGACCCCTTGTGCAAAATTGCGGTCACGTCAATCTACACGAACTATTGCACGAAAACCCCTATTACAACCCTTACGCGATTTGAAAACCTGGCTGGTTAGGATAGTTTTCGGCTCTGCTTCACTGTTCACTTCTTCGATGACCTGGTGAGGTTATTTGAAAGTGCTGCACCACACATCGCTGGCTTCATTTGTCATTGTTAATTGTAATCAACAATGAATCATTTTTATGCTTTCTGACGTTTTCGCTTTTTTGAAGCCGTGATATTTTCTTGTTCACTTAACACCGCGTTCATATCTTGCGACGTTTTAGAATCGCAATGGTAAGTGTACTTATCGATTTGAACGCTAGGAGAAACGATGAGTTGGAGAAAGCGCGAAGAAGATTAAATACGTATTGACTGACTCCGCCCAGCTGGTGGATTGGAGATCAATCGATGCGTATCTAATCTTTTGCGCGCGTTCTGTGTCTCACGGTTTCTCCGATTCTCCGGAACGTTATCTATACTTGCCATATTGACGGCTCTGAATAAGTGGCAAGATGATCGTTATATGCCGCGCTGGGCGGCACTCGGGTCGAGGCGACGCCCACGTCCGAGAGACGAGTTGCCTGGCCGAGCCTCTTGATCTTGAACGGTCAGAGGGGACCGAGGACAGGTATCGCAGTATCGCTCGGCTTGGTTATGCCTCCGCGCTTAAGTTTTCACGATCTTCGTGTTTAACGACAAAATATCAGGGCACTGGGAAAATTCTGCAGCATTTGATGCACGAGCCAAACCAAGCCAAGCGCGACAAACAACGATTGTCTTGTCAGTCTCCCGAGGATTCTCCGTTATCGCAAAATATCTCTTTTCCCATGGATTTTCAATGTGCAATACATTTTCAAATTTTGCAGGATGATCGGTGACCTGGAAGACCTCGAAAGGGACATTGCATGTGGTATGTGTTCGGGTGTTTCCTCTTCGACGTGGGACGTGCCGAGTACTCCTTTATACTTCAGGTCTCGAAAAGGTTGCCAAAGGATTGCAGGAACGATATGTGGAGTTCCAACCGCTTTTGAAAGTTGCCGAGGAAGACATTGTTCTGAAACTGGAGGATTTATCAAACTCTGTGAATGAAAAGTTGCAACTTGCTGACAGTTTTCTGCGCGAAAACAGTATGGATGCATCATCTCGAGACCAGGTGTACGAGGCATATCCAAGTCAAGGCTACTTGAGCTGTGTTTCATACTTGCGCTCGCTCGACAGCTCGAGTGTGTGCGATCACGGCGATAGGCCGCTCAAGGCCGGCCGCACTGCTTGGGATGGAGGCTACGCTCGTGGTCGCGTAATCCAACTCGAGCCGATTCCGATCGCGCGATCGCGAACTTTGAACTCGGCCGTTCAATGTATCTGAGGTTTTGGGGGCTTGATTTTGTGCCCTTTCAGCTCCCTGTAATGTTAGGCCTGGCTCATACTCGATTTTTGATTTCAGAAGTGCGCGCAATCACTCTTACTGCCAGGGTATCGTAATTTTCCGCAAAAAACTGTCAGATTTGTCAGATTGCCGTCAGCTGCTTGATAAAGTCCAAAATATCGAAGGCCTTTTAATTTCCTGTCGTTCGAATTCGCTCAGTAAAATCCATGAAGCTCGTAATCTGCTGGAGTGTGAGGCGCTTCTCAACGAGATCACGCAGGTATTGCTTTTGTTGTTAATCCATTTAAGGCGAAAGGTGAAAGGCTATTTTCCTTCATGTTCTATCTATGCCCAGGGATGACGGATGGCGATTCTGACTGGTCGTGTACGTGATATGCTTCGTGATGAAGTTTCATTTATGATGAAATCGCTTGTATACACATTAACATGCAGTTTTGATGAATTCGTTTCGTATCCTTCAACGGATGTGAAGGGTACGGTTCATATGCATATACGGAACAGCGATTCGAAAGACATATCTGAGGTGCGTTTTAAGAGTCTGGCTCTATTTTACTAGAAAGCGTTCACAGTTCGCGATTTGGTCGCGCTAGTTGCCGTTCGAACGCAATTCTTGTCAATCGCGCGAACAGGACGATCAAATTGCAAAGTGTTACAATTAAACTTAGACAGTGTTTAGACTTAGCGATGACGCGCGTCGACGTGCTACAATTGTAACAGCGCTCTGTGCTGTAGACAGGAACGCAGCCGCAGACATAGATCGATCCGGCCGTTGGTGTTTTGAGAGAGTATAGGAGACCAGAAGTGTACGCATTGCCTAGTCGCACGGTCTGGTACCCTTCTATTCTTAAAAACTCCGCTGGCTTCAATCAATATTAGTGTAGGAGGTTAGGCGACGCATACGCTCCTATTCTCCTTCTCCTAACACTAGCGGTCAGCGCCGATCATACCCGAATGGGAGGTTGTGCAGCACGTACTTACTTCTTCACTGGCCAGTTCTCGTCACACGCTCGGGCACCGATTTCCTCATTCTTCGGAAAAGCTCTTGACCTCTTAAGTGGAACTATGGTAACAAAGTTTCAGATGTTGGCAGCTTTGAGCTTGCTGGGTGAACTCGACAAACGAATGAAGAAATGGGCAACGTATGTGGTAAAGAACTTCGTTCAGCCTATAATCGACAGCCAAAATGGTGTGGACCCGTACGAAAGATTTACTATTTCGGTGAGAGAAATGTTTCTGGAAATGTTGGGAGGAGAACAATATAATCTATTCTAAATCCTTTCAGTACTGAGGAATAAAGATCTTAGATAGATAGCTCTTGAAAAAAATTTCGGCACAATTTACCCTTCACTGCCCCAACCCTCCAGAACTGAGCCAGTTTTTGACCGACTTTTTTCTCCGTGGACAGATTTGGCTCAAATGTCTCCTGGGGTAGTTTGACCTCCTGAATACGAATATCACATTCGCTTAGCCCGAAACTTCCTGGCGCCCGCGCCACAGGCGCCGGTGATTTGGGGTATTTTGGCGCCAGCGCCTGCGCCAGCAGGTTTCTGTCCAGCGGATGTGATATTCGTGTTCAGAAGGTCAGACTACCCCTGGGAACAAATTTTCAGCCAATTCTGTCCAACGAGAAAAAAGTCGATCAAAAACTGGCCTGTTTTTGAAAGTTGGGGCAGTGAAGGGTAAATAGTGCCAAAATTTTAATTTGTTCTTCGCAAAAGAGAAGGAATAAGACTTTGGCAAAAGAGAAGGAATAAGACTTTGGAAAGTAAGAGACTCGGCGCTGTTCGGCTTGGGAAGGGGCATTTTGTACATTCGCTAGTCTCCTTTGACAGTTTCTGTTGAGCTATACGTCTTACCTTGACCTGTAGGCGCTTATCAGATGTCAGCAAAGCTCCTGCTACTGTATAGCTTCACAGGGATTCGCTTCCCAAAGGAGTAACCGGCAGTGATCGATGGGAATCAGAAAAATGACCCTCCCCCACATCAAGCCGAACTGCACCGTGGAATCAATTCTTACTTCATTTATTCTTTTTTTTATTCACGGCTTAATTTGTTCGGCGCCTTTCAGAATGACACAGCTGAATTCACCGCAAGCTCCAAGGTCAGACCAACGGTTAACGGTATTTCTATCGAGGGAGTTGTTAGGTAAGTCACGTAACTCGTACTCAAATAACTTATAATCAGCTTTGTTTTGAAATGTCTGGAGATCGTGTAACAGTGTGTTCATACTTTGCGGCAGCTTTTCGAGCGTCTGTCGGCATCAGCTATCCATCTAGCATTCACAGGGGTTTTGAGCGGTAATCGGTATGCTCTTAGACGCTCAAAACGCTACCGCAAAGTAATAACACACTCTAATGGAGCTGTTTGTCGACGAGGGGGCATTTTGCTTTCCATAGATGTGTCGACCCATCTAGGCAGCCGTTTCTCGAGTTGACACGTTTTAGGATAGTGGCTAGACGATCTTACTTCAGCTTCACAAGAGTTCACAAGTTTTACCAGAGTGAGATTTGTAAACCGGA